TCAACCAAAATTGAGTCGACACAAAAGCCATCAAGCCCATCAATTTGAAACTACATTATCGGGTCGTCTTGCTTATAGGGCTAGGTTGTAAGACCCACTATTCGAGCAACTCATAAATAGAGCAGCGTGCCCTAACCTAATTAAACCTTTGGGCTTTCTAGTAGAAATAAGCACCGTTCCAATTAAATTCAAGCATTCCAATCGATATAGCTCCAACCTAATCTAAAATTCGGCTTTCTAATTCATGTTAACCCCAACTTAATTAAAATTGAGCCTTCCAACTGATATTAAGCTCCAAGCTAATTAAAACCAGGCCTTCCAATAGATGAAAGCCCCAATTCAATTAGATCTGGGCATTCTAATGGATGTAAGCTACCTTTCAATCAAATATAGGCTTCTCAACAGACATACTCCCAAACTTGAGTTAAATTTTTGTCAAGCTCCTATGCCCATGCCCATCAAATTAATTAGATATCAAAATTATAATAAATTAAAATCTAATATAGTCACATCAGTTTACTTATGATTTTTGAGAAGAGATAACCTATGACTTTTAATCAGATTCCCTGGATGTTATGGTCTATGGCCCTTTATTGTTGATAAACTAAGATCACTGGTAATCCCGGGATAACAAAACTATGAGATCATGATTCGGTCTACCTCAATCCTTCATAAACATCTCTCACTAGTTCAAATAAATCTCAAAATATCAAGCTTGAATTTGAAAACGTATCAAACCATCCTTAACACACATGCCAATGATGCAAAATGGCGCATGGTGCGACGCGACGTACATACGATGCTATTTGCTTGACGCAAAAAATTAAAAGAGCGTGCGTTAATTGCTCCATGCATGGGCATTGACACATTGCCCAAGGCACAAATGGCGCGCTATATTTTTAACAGTTTATAAATTATAAATTATAATTAATTTTTTTAAAATTTATATAATAATATCAAAATTAATTATTAATTAATTAAACATCAAATTAATAAAATATAAACAAATTAAAGTATTGAACTATTTTTGTTGGATTTAAATGTCATTTTTGCTATTTGGCATGATTTAGGCTAAATTATGCTTAAATCCTACTCAAATCTATTAAGCTTTTTCCGATAGTTGCTATTTTTTTTTTTAAAGTTGTCATTTCTTTTCTAATTGATAGGATTTTTATGCTTAAATTTTTTTTCTACTCAACCTATTATTTGTAATTTAATGTATTTAATATTAATAAGTATATATATTATTTTTTTTATATTACTTGCCATGTTTAAAGTTCACGCCGTGCTGTGCGTTATACGCCATGTCTCCACATGGAATTTTGCTCCATTCGCCGTTGACAAGAATGATTCTTAATCGAGAGTGTTCTCCCACGAGTGGGAGGGGTAATCAATTATGAGGGCTTGCTCTCATAAGAAGTTTAGATCTCATATCTAAATAAAATCTGACATAAATATCCGGGAAAATCTGGTTAATTAAAAATTAATCTACTTCAAGAAGAATGAAATCTTAACTTAGAAGAATGGGTTTGGGACATTTTTCCTGATCAAACATAACCTTCCATTGAATTAATTATAATTTTTAAAAGATATACAAATTCACCTCCCCTCTTGGGTGTGTTGTACATTTTTGGTTTCATTCAAGGGTATCTTATAGACCCGAGGATAATGTTTGTCTTTGTGGAAAATTCAAGTTGACATTAGTTAGCAGAGGGCTCTATGCTCTATCAAGTGCACTCTATGAAGCTCAAGGGATTTTAGCAATTAGGGAATTTGCTTGCTTTGGCCATTACCATAATTTACTTTTGCCATTTTGTGGTTGAACCAACCAGTCATTTGATTGAAAATTCACTTATTAGATAACACATCACCTCTTTATTTGTGAGAGATCGTTTGAGAATGAATCATAGTGATACACACGACAAAATCTTGGCTCTTTATGAGGTGAGGTTATTATCAAATTTATCAGTCCCGGCAAATGGTTGTGGGAGGGATAAATTTCACTTTAAATATTTAGTCTTTATAAAATTTAAGTTTTAATACTATGGTTTGAATTTAGCCCGAAAATGATTTGTATTAAAATTTGGGGGCATTTTGAAAGATATAATCCTTTGCGATTGATATTATTAGTCAAAGCAATCATTATTGAGATGTTTAAATGTCTCATTTTTGTCATTTAAACCTTATAAACTATGCTTGTATGCTAACAGGAGATCAAATTCAAATATTTACTTTGTGAGTTCTCGTAAGAGTATTGAACTGAGAGTTTGTATTTTTGTAAGGAGTTTCTTTTGTAAAAGGCATTCAATGCCTAATATGAACGTAAAAGAAAACATCATCATAGTTTTTATAGTTGTACATTCATTTATGAAGATGGGATTTATCGTGCACTATTTAAAGCTTTATGTTTGGATAGCACTCATGAAGTTCAAACCTTATAAACTTTCGTCTTTGTTGTGAGGTTGTCAAAATTTAAAGCGATAATATAGTTATTTTTTAGGATGATTCCACAATTCTTAATGTAAAGTTAAATCTATCATATGTTAGCCAATAAGCTTTCTCATACCTCAAATTTAGCAGTTTGATGCATTGGTGGAAGAACATGCTGAGTAGATTGATTTCAATTGTCCAAGGTGTTGCACATGCTCTTTGATGCATTTGCATGGCATATTTGCATCTCTTCATTCACTCACGCGATGCATTTGCATACTTGCATGACCTTCGATGTACTTACACAATGTGATTGCACTGCTTTCGGTACACTTGCACGTTATTTTGTGTGCTTGCATTGTGCATTAGCATGCCTTCAATACATTTGTACTGTACTTTTAGGGGACACATGGGCAAGATTTTTTCGGCCATTTGATGTTACACTCACTTTGTCAAAATAGCTGTGACTCGTGATTTGCAATAATGCACTATTTTATCTCATTTGGAAAATTTTCATTCACGGGGTATGAGTTTCACTGTTTTGTAATTTGCATGTATGTCACATAGGACACTCGTACACTTATAGCATGCATTTAGTTTGACCATTTTGATTTTTTTGAAGACCCTTCACCTAAATACAATTGTTGAGATGTATAAGGGTCTAATGTAGCAGTTGTTCATGTGAATGTACTATTATTTTTCTTGTGAAAAATTTTCAATTGAGTGTACTATTAAGGGCTTGATGTTGTAGTTATTCATGTGGAAATTTTCATTCATGGGGTGTTTATGAGCTTTCCTGTTTTGTAATTAGTATGTACGTTACTTTGGGTACTCGTACACCTGTGGTATGCATTCTGTTTGACCATTTTGATTTGTTTGAAGACCCTTCAACTAAATATAACTACTTAAGACATATAAGTGCAATGAAAATGGTCAATCGGCCGCAATGTCTTAAAGACCATCGCTATGAAATGCTCGTACAGGTAGGGGTGTCAATATTTGACACGACCCGAAAATCTGACTCGATCCCGACCCGAAAATTTTGGGTTAGGGTCCACCCGAACCCGAAACAGGTCGGGTTCGAGTTTAACAATTCGGTCTGTTTCAAAAATCGGGTCGAGTTCGAGTTGACCCTTTGACTCGAAATTAACCAGATTTTGACTCGAAAACCGTTTTTGACCTGGCAACCCGAGATTGACTCGAAAAGTGGAGATTGATATATTTTTAGACTCGAAAACTAGTAGCTTTTTGTTGGCACTAGGTCATTCAGGTCGTTTTGGGTTGATCCGGACCCGAAGCGAGTCGGGTTCGGGTCCGGAAAACCTGACCCGTTTGCAAAAACGGGTCAGGTTACCCTAATAGTTTGACCCGTGACCCAAAATTGACACCCCTACGTTCAGGGCTTACTCATTGCATCATGAGCATCACCTATGAGATTCCCTCGCCGCACTTAGAAAATGCCCATAGGCTCCACTCGTAGGACCTAATGTGTCAAATTAAGGATTTTGAAGATTTTTAACCGTTTGCGAGCTTATACATTAAAATAGCAAGTTTAATAGATGGTGGAGGCACTAGGGCATGAGATTTGGGTGATGGGCTACGGTGTGTAGGAGAGAAGAAATAGGGGGAGGGGGGGTCACTAGCAAGGGTTCAGGTGGTGCTGGAGGCTTCGTGAGAGTGGAGTGCAGGGGGATGAGCCTGGGCCACACGAGTGTAGAGAGGAAAATGGGGGACGAAGAAGAGGTTTGACTACTTTTTTAGTTTATTTGTTTATTTCTTTATCTATTGACAAAACTGATGTTTGGCTCTGGGAGGAGGTGTGGGGGATGAATGGGTTGAGATAGAATATATATATATATTATTTTGCAAGGGTTTAGGTGGTGCTGGAGGCTGCGTGAGAGTGAAGTGCAGGGGGATGGGCTTGGGTCAGACGAGTGTAGAGAGGAAAATGGGGGATGAAGGGGAGGTTTGTCTACTTTTTTAGTTTATTTGTTTTTTTTATTAATATATTGACAAAGTTGATGTTTGGCTCTGGGAAGAGGTGTGGGTGGTGTGGGGGATGAATGAGTTGAGATAGAATATATATATATATATATATATAATTTTATTTTATTTTATTATGCAATATTTTGTAGCTCTTTCAAATCAACCTTTCAATATTATTTTATAGATGTTTTTGCTTTTACGAACTCGTTGGCGCAGCCCATTTCATGAACGGATAGTGCTCGAGCGATTTTAATTCTTGGTCGACACTTTTCAGACAATATTCACATGATGTTTCATCTCTTGCTCATTGTGTTCATCACATTCAGTTGGGTCAACCTTGGAATGGTAATCGAAGTCAACTTAAATTCATCTTAACTTAAAAGTAGAAATTTAGCTATTAAATTAGCATATTTGAAGAAAGTGGCACAAATAGTATGGTTTATCAACTTGTTAATAAGATGTGAAAACCAATCATCGAAGATCCAATCATATAACTTCTAACACGTTTGCTTTATCCTATTCCTTTTCATAGTCTCCTTTTGCCCTCGTATGTTACTGATGCATCCGTATTCTCCCCGTATCAGGTTCTGGAGGCTGCCAAGCGACTGCATCTGAAAGAACACGCAGTTTTAGATGCTTCTGGCAATGCTATCAAATTGGCTGCTCCAGTTGAATGCAAGGGCATTGTTGGGAGTGATGACAGGTGATAAATTCATTGCTACTGTTGGTCAGAGAATATAATTCCTAGTTGTTTATTTTCTTTTTTAAAATTATGTTGATGCCTATAATTCACTCATACATATTTCTATATTAAACTGTTCTCCCTTAGATTTTAATTGCCATTTCTATGGGCTATTTACTTTTGATGTTGTTGTCTGGAAGTGGTTGGAGCTAAAGTCCCGTCAGTGAATTTCAATGGCGTTTGCTTTTTGGCATGAATTCACTCTTTTGTGAACTTAATGTCCGTGTTAGGATTATAGTGAGTTTTAATTTTACCCATCATTTTTATTAATTTTATACTATTTTATTACTATTATCAATAACAAATAACATTAGAATTCAACCCCCTTTTAATTTATGTTATTTTATGCAAAGTGCGAAAACGCAGGTGATGAAGGTGAGCTCAAAAGTATGGACTTACTTTCATTCATTCCTGCCCAACAAGCACCTCAAATTAGTTTTGGAACTTAGTTCAACTCTCCTCGGAATGGATACATTGAAATAAACCAACCCAACTGGCACAAGTGAAGGTCGACTTAATTTAACATTTTAGTCATCTTCAGTAATGGTGCTTGACGTCTACTTATTTATTTTTTGGATTAATGAAACTTGGAAGTCTACGAATATTTGCTGAGTTAATGTAATCAGTTTCTTAGTTTTTATCTCGTTTGCATTTTTTTAGAGCTTTTATCACCTTACTAGGTTAAGTATATCTGGACAATTTAAATTGCTTATTGGTTCCATCAACCTTTTGATCAATTTGCCAGATTTTCATTTTCTATGTAAACATCTTCTTCCCTCCTTTCTTTTCCTGCATCCTGCTACACTTGCTTATCATTTCTTCTTATTCTGTTTTTTTGTTTCTTCATCTTTGCATGCTTCACCTCTGCCTGATTTTTGTAAGAACTCTAGTTCTTTGTTGACTACTTAATATGTTGGGTAAGTTAACAGATTTGAGCTTGTTGCAAATCGAATTGAGATAAAATCAAGAGCAAAATGCATCTGAAAAGTGTTTTTGTTTCAAATGCGTGTTACGGCAACTCTGCAATTCCTGTGGATATTTTCCTTTTCTTTCAATCTCAAGTTTTATGTAGTGTCATTTCCATTATAGGAAAGGTTAGGAAAAACTTGACGCTGAAAATCAAAATTTGCCACCGGTGATATTATTCAATGACTCATTTCCGGAAGAATTTCTATTTGCGTTATTTATCTATAAGTGATCTCTAGATCAAGATTTAAATAGGTGAAACATGAACTGAGGTGTTTTGCCTTAGTGAGATAAGAGACCTAAGACTCTAATAATAAAAAAATAATTCATAAATATGTCATAAATCATCAACCTATTAACTTTGTTCATCATCATAAAGTATAAAATCACAGTTTAAGAAAATGAAAGCGAATCTCCATCTTAAATATTTATCTAAAGGGAACTTGACACCCCCGTTGCATTGCATTTCTTGTTGCTTTTTTTTGAACCACAGCCTCTCTCTCTCTCTCTCTCTTCTCGTACTCAATTCTCGTAAGTCTAACTTAAAATTTTTAACTGGGCTATGAGTTATATTAGGTATAACATTAACAAACGAATTTAAAAAAAAAATTATTTAGTATTGATTTAAGGTTTTGCCTCAAATTCCTTATGGCATAAATCTGAGGCATAGTCTCGAAAAAAAAAGTGCAAGCCTTGAGGCAGTTTCTGGGCACTGCATTGTGAGGTGAGCCTTGAGGTGTGTATCTCAGATTTCTTTTTAATCCATGCTCTTGATGGAGTGAATGAAAGCTGCACCTGATCAGTTTATCCTTTCTTTGAAAATGAAGATAGGGTAGTAAACATTACTCATGGAACATTTGCATTGCTGATTTTGAGAGAGAGATGATTATTTTTGTAAGCTTATTGAGCTTCAGAGACCAGATTGACATTTCCTTTTCCTCTGTGGTGCTCATGTATTGCTATAATATATATTTTCCTTTCGGCAATCTATTATCTGAATTAGTACGTAACAATATCCCCAATTCATGATTCCAAATCTACCATTTTATTATGTTTTAAGCCACTCATTTTATTGCCATCATTCTAGATCTATCTAACTTTTAACTTAGTAAAGTTTGCTAATAAATTTTAAGAGAAAAGGATATAAATGGTCCATCAACTCTTTGTGAGGAATCAAAATGGTCCCCAACTCTTTTAGGGATCATTGTGGCCCCTCAACTCCTAAAAGGGGCCTTTTTGGTCATAGCATTAAATTTTGGGGTTAAGAGTGTTAAATCAAGGGGTATTTTAGTTGTTTTTTAATTAAATTATTTATTAAATATAATTTTGTGGCCCCTCAACAACAACATCAAGCCTTGGGGTCGGCTACATGAATCCTTTTTCACCAGTGTCCGGTTAAAAGTCAAATTCTCATCTAAATCTAATAAAGAAAGATCATTTCTAATATTTTCTAACCAAGTCATTTTAGGTCTACCTCTACCTTTTTTAACATAAGCCAAATCTAATACCTCAACCTTCCTAACCGGGTCATCAGAAGGTCTCCGTTTAACGTGACCAAGCCATCTAAGGCGACTCTCTCTAATCTAATCTTCCACTGGAGCTACTCCAACCTTTTCATGTATATGCTCATTTCGTATCCTATCTCTAAGGGTTAAGCCACTCATCCACCTAAGCATCCTCATCTCTGCAACACTTAACTTAGTATTATGCTTCTCTTTTAATGGCCAACATTCAGCACCATAAAGCATTGCAGGCTCACCACCATCTTATAGAATTTTCCCTTAAGTTTGAGGGGGACTTTTCTATCGCACAATAAGCCCGATGCATTCCTCCACTTCAACCATCCAACTTGAATTCTACTGATAATATCCCCATCAATTTCACCATCACTCTGAACAATAGATCCAAGATATCTAAAACGTGTACTCTTATTAATGACTTGATCGCCCAAAATCACAATCCCCTCACTAGGTCTATTTCCACTAAAATTAAACTCCATAAATTTATTTTTAGATCTACTCAAGCGAAAACCTTTAGACTCTAAAATTGATCTCCATAATTCAAGTTTACCTTCGACTCCCTCTCTAGTCTTATCAACAAGAAGAATATAATCATCAAAAAGCATGCACCAAGGTACATCCTCTTGCAAATGTCTAGTGAGAACATCCATGACTAAAGCAAAAAGATATGGACTTAAGGCTGATCCTTGATGTAATCCAACCGAAATAGGAAAATACTTGGTCAAACCACCTTGTGTTTGAAAACAAATAATAGCTCCTGCATACATATCTTTAATGATTTGAATATAAGCATTATTAACTCCTTTCTTTTCAAGAACTCTCCATAGCACTTCTCTTGGAACTTTATCACATGCTTTCTCTAAATCAATAAATAACATATGTAGATCCTCCTTATTCTCTCTATATTTCTCCATCAAACCTCTCAATAAATGTATGGCTTCCATAGTAGACCTACCAGGCATGAATCCAAATTGATTTTGAGAAACATTAGTATCACGCCTCAACCTATGCTCCATAACACGCTCCCATAGTTTAAAGTATGACCTATTAACTTAATTCCTCTATAATTCGCACACTCCTGTGCATCAACCTTTATTCTTAAAAATAGGAATTAACACTCATTCTCCAATGATCTGGCATCTTTTTAGTCTTCAAAATAGTATTAAAAAGCTTAGTAAGCGAAGAAATTTCTTTATCTCCTAAGCATTTCCACATCTCTATTGGAATATCATCAGGTCCAATAACTTTTTCACACTTCATTTTCTTTAAAGCCTTTCTAACTTCGATTTTACTTATACGCCGATAAAAACAAAAATCTTTATTTTCATTTAGGGTGATAAGATCATTAAAGCCAATCATATTTTCACATTCTTCATTAAAAAGTTTAGCAAAATACCTCATCCACCTTTGTTGAATATCATGTTCTAAGAAAAGTACTTTTTAATCTTCATCCTTAATACACTTCACTTGAACTAAATCCTTACTACGCTTATCTCTTTGTTTGGCTAACTTATACATATATCTTTCTCCCTTTTTAAGTTTCTAATCTATTATATAAATCATTAAAAGCTAAACTTTTTGCATCGTAAATAACTTTCTTAGATTCCTTACAAGCCTCTTTATAGCTTTCCCAATTATCAGAATTTTTACATCTAAACCAATTTTTATAACAAATCTTCTTATTTTTTATCTTTTCTTGCACATTTGGATTCCACCATCAACCATTTTTAGTATTAGGAGATTTTCCCTTTGAAACTCCAATCACATCTTTTGCAATATTCTTAATATCACAAGCCACTTTTTCCCACATAATATTGGCATCCTCATGCACAGATAGAATCTTAAGATCTAAAATCTTACTCTCAAAAATACTTTTATTAATATTCTTTAAATGCTCAAATCTAATTCTAGAAAATCGTTTTTCTTTATTTTTTATTTTTTGCCCATTTATCTTAAATTTCAAAACTAATAATCGATGTTGGGTACATAAATTTTCACTATGAATAACTTTACAATCTTTGCAATCTAAACAATCTAATTTTCTTATAAGAAAATAATCAATATGCGCTTTACTATATCCATTTTTATAAGTGATAAGATGCTCATCTCTTTTTCTTAAATAAGGTATTAGCTATTAATAAATTATAAGCTAAAGAAAAATCTAATACAGTCTTACCACCTTTATTTATCGTTCCAAACCCATTGCCACCATGGATGTTTTTAAAATCATCTACCTCTCTACCAACATGTCCATTTAAATCTCCTCCAATAAAAACACTTTCTTCAAGAGATATATTTTGTATAAATTTTTCTAAGTAATTCCAAAATTTTAATTTTGAACTCATGTCCAAACCTACTTGAGGAGCATAAGCACTTATAATATTAACAATCTTAGCATCAACAACAATCTTTAAAGCTATAATACTATATCTAATTATGTTAATTTTTATAACATTTTCCTTCAAACTCTTATCTATAATCACACCTACACCATTTCTAGTACGACTCCTACCTGAATACCATAATTTATATTCTAAAGTATTAATCTCCTTAGCTTTCTTTCCAATCCATTTAGTTTCCTGAATGCACAGAATATTTATCTTCCTATGAATCATAATATTTATTAATTCCATTAATTTTCCTGTAAGGGAGTCTATATTCCAAGTTGCTATCCTAATTTTTGTTTCATGGACTAGCTTCTTTGCCCACATCCGTCCTTCATGTGGGAACCCTTGCCTATTTAACACTGCACCTTGGTGCCGGTGCAGCGGCCCTTGCACACTTGTCACTGTATTCAGGCCATACAGCGTGTCGCTTCCAGGGAATGCCCTAGCATTAACACAATTTTTTAAAGGATTCATGTCATGATTATTCAACAAGTTTTACGCTGGCTGTCAATTACCTAAGACAACCCTCCACTTTTCTCATCCAGGACTTGGGACATGGCAATGACAGTGTTATAATTTCAAAAAAAGAATATTTCTTTAATAAAAACATTTATTAATCATTCTAATTTTAATTTAGGATCATTATAGACTAGAATTATTGATAATTTTTTCATTAAAGAAATGTATAATAAATTAAAAAAATACTATTACTTGAAAATTATATTTAATAGATAAATTAATTAAAAAATGATCAAAATACCTCTTGATTTTACTTCATGAATCCCAAAATTTGATGTTATGAAAAAAAGGCCAATTTTTAAGGAGTTAAGGGACCACCTCAAAAGAGTTGGAAACCATTTTGGTCCCTTACTAAGAGTTGAGGGATCATTTTTGTCCTTTTCTCTAATTTTTAATAAGGATGTACAAAGCAGGAATGTGACAGGCCTTTTTTAATATTAATCAATTCAATTTTCTAGGTTAGTTTAATTGCTTCGTCGAGTGCCAGTTTTGAACCAATTGGCCTGATTTAGTTAATAGAGTGTAAAATTTGGTTCACTTCTACGTGAGTCTGAATTCTTACTTCAATGTATATTTCTATATGTTAGGCATTATCTCTTAGACTTGATGAGGGTAACTCCCCGTGATGTTAATTATACTGGACCTGGATCCAGATTCTGTGTGTTGAGGCCAGAACTTGTAATTTCCTTCTGTGAGGTAAGTAATTTTTTTCTTTGTCGAATTGCTAAGATTGTTACATGGCTTTTTCCTGTCATTCTTTTCTATTGAATATGACGAAGGTTGAATCTGGAAAGCGGCCATGCTCGCAATCTAAAAGTGAAGTCCCGGCGTTGTCTGATTCTCCAAGTGTTGATGATAAGGTGAGTAGCAAAAACATGCTGTCTTGTGCTTGATGTTTGATTGCTTGTGCAGCTTATTCTATTATTGATAATTTATTAAATCTGATCCACCAATTTAAAGAGTGGATAGCTGGTTCAGCTCCATGAACATAAAATCATGACACTGAATTTGGCATGGAAAACAAGTCGCTAAAACTTTCTAAAGTGCTGTATAGCACATAAGATCAGCATAGATTTTTATTTTTTGGAGTCTTAATCTCTCTATTTTTTATAGGAGAATTCAAAGGAAGACATAAAGGATGATAGAAACTCAGCTTCTGTTACTGTTGAAAGTTGTCCATCTTGTGAAGAAATATGCTTAAATCCAAATGTTTTTACTGAGTTTAAAATGGCAGGAACTGAGGAGGTAGATTAGACATGATTTATAGACAACTAAGTGACCCCCTGCCCCTACTGCTGTATTCCTTCCTTTCACTTAGTTTTGCATTTTCTTGAATTTTTAGGAGATTGCCACTGATGAGGCAATAGTGAGAAAGGCTGGTACTTATCTTGTGGATACAGTTCTTCCCAAGTTTGTGGATGATCTTTGCTCCCTAGAGGTTTCACCTATGGATGGTCAGACATTAAGTGATACCCTTCATTCTAATGGAATAAATGTCCGGTATCTTGGTAAAGTAAGTATTTCCATGTTTCTCTTGAATTTAGCTTCTTCCTTTAATCATAAATTTCACGACCTTATCAGGTAGCTAACATGACGAAGCATTTGCCTCATATATGGGATCTTTGCACCACTGAGATCATTGTTCGGTCAGCTAAGCATATCTTAAAGGTGAAATTTTGTTAACTGACCATGCAGTACTTTGTTTTGAATTCTGAAGTCATTTTGAAGTCTTGTGGCATATAAAGAATCAAATTTTTGTTCCATGAATCTCATTTGACAATTTGTTGTCTATAATATTCCTGACATCTTATATGTTATGAATAGCCTTATGTAGCACATGGTTTCAAATAGGTCACAATAGTGTACAAAATCTCAGTGGCCATAAGACAAGTCCTACGAATTAAATTAGGCCAAAATAGATTTGAACCCCAGTTTATTTTAGTTTTCTTGTGTTTATCGTCAAATTTATGTTTCAAATCTAGATCATTTTATCAGATGTTATCTTCTCTAGCATTAAAATAGACTTCAATTTAAAGTTTACTAGAATTAGGTTGATTTATATTTGCAGTTTAGCGTGTTTATGCGAGAGTAGCTGTAGGATGGGTGACCTCCTGGGAAGTCCTCGTGTTACACCCTTTTGAAGTCTAGAGGAAGATAAGATTAGAGAGAGTCGCCTTAGATGGTTTGGTCACATAAAACGGCGGCCTTCTGATAACCCAATTAGGAAAGTAGATCTATTAGATTTGACTTATGTTAAGAAAGGTAGAGATAGACTTAAAAAGACTTGGTTAGAAAATATTAGAAATGACCATTCTTTATTAGATTTAGATGAGAATTTTACTCTTAACATGATACAATTGAGAAAAATGATTCATGTATCCGACCCCACATAGTGGGATAAAGGCTTATTGTTGTTGTTGTATTCCTTTAACTCTGTTTCTATAAATAGAGATCCTTGATGAATAATTGGATTATTGATATTGATTGAATGAAATATTTTGAGTTTCTTTACTATTAACTCACATTAACGTGCCTAGTTTTGATATGATACAAGATAAATACGCAACATGAACTACTTTCAATTGATTTTTCATGTCTACCAAAATATTTCATTTGTTCCTTCTATTACTTTAGTGATTAATTATATGTTTTAATTTACTATGCTTTGCATTGCCAGAACTTGTATTGATGATCATATTATTTGTGAAATGCATCCTTGGCATGACAAGTCATATTAGTCGGGATAAAACTATACCTTTACTTGACTATATGCTTTTTGGGCCTTCTAGGGGGCAGGATATTGTAAGCATTGTCAGTAAGTGCCATGCGCGCTAAATGGAAATGGCTATCAAAAAATTCGCTGACCTGTACACTTATCTTCCTTTCACTTATACTCTTTGGGTTGATTTATGTGTACAATTTGTATTGGAATTATCTTAGGATTGTTCATAGCTATTTTGGTATAGTGGTGGCAGTCGATAGGTTCTTTAAAATAACTCATTTCATTTAAAGCTTCAAGACTACTAATGCATTTTATCTAGCAGAACCTCTCTGTTTCAGAGAAAGTTTTAATGGGTTACCAAGATCATAATATTTGATAGAAATGCCATATTTGTTTTTTATTTTTAAAAAGTTTTATAAAAAATAGCACTGTTAACTTTCCAAACTTTAATAGATGGTCATAACAAGATTGTAAATAGAAGTCTTAGAAATCTACTAATATATTAGTTGAACAATGCTTAAGTTATTGAAATCTCCATCTTACTATTGCTGGCTGCTGCATTTGGTTTTAATCACAATTTGTGCAAATGTATGGGGTAAGGCACCATCTGAACTTGTTTAGGGATTGAAGCTAGGGGTGTCAATATTTGACACAATCTGAAAATCCAACCCAAAAATTCCGGGTTAGGGTCAACCCATTTGAGAAGCGGGTCGGGTTCAAGTTTAGGATTTTGACTCGTTTGTGAACTGGGTCGGGTTCCGGTTGACGCGAAAACCCAAAACTAACCTGGGTTTGACTCGGAAACCTTGCTGCCGCTCTCCGGCGCTTGTTTGAGTCGTCTCGTGTGAGTCTGAGTTGCGTCGTGATGTAGGCAGGGGGGGGGGGGGGGGACAGGGGGGGGGGGGTCAAATCAAATCCTAATATTTGATTTTTGACTTCTCCATCTTATTAATATCTTGTGGAAGGTTAGCTCATTATGAGCTGATTTTTAGTTCATATATTGAACTAAAAATTAGCTCATTACTTCTTAAACATTGGCTTTTCTTCTTCCCCCTCTTTTCTATAATTTATATTGCCTTTTCCTCTCCCTTTTGACCCTTGGGCTGCTGCGGTTTCCTGCTGATTTCCTCCCATGGTTTGCTGCTGCTGTTGCCCCCTCGGTTCTCTGCCCCTTTTCTGCCGTGACTCCCTCCCTATTTACCGTGAAATAACATCTGCTGCTGGACCTGATACTTGACTCCTGGTTTCCTGTGCTGAAACCGTGGCTTTCCTTGTGAAATAAAGTGCCGTTTGGGATTTCTAAATGGCTGATCTGTTCCTGGTTGGTCCTGTGGCCTTGTTCTGCTTGGAATGGCTGTGACTCTTGGGTATCATGCAAGTTTTTGGGCTGTATTTTGGACAGTTTTAAGGACTGTTTGGTGGTTGTTTTGGGAAGAATTCCAAGAGTTTCTACTGCAGTTTTTAGGTGCCTTTTGGCCTTCTATTTCCAGCTTTTAATTAATATTTTAATGGCTGTTTAGTTCCCCTCTTATGCCTATATATAGTAGATGTTTTGGGCTTTTTAAAAGAAGTGAATGTTATGTGATTTTTGGAATCTAACCTGCGGGTTATTGGAAAAGCTTGCGAGCTTTGTCCGTCTTCTTTCTCATCCCCTCCGGAAATCTTGCGAGCTCTTTCCAACCTTTCGTCTCGGCTTCTAATCTCTTTGGTCTCTCCGCAAGTGCCACTCCACATGTATCCCTCTTCTCAGTAAAGCAATTTTAGGGTGTCGTCTTGTTTAAGTCTTTATTTCTTAAGTTTGTAAGTCCTTTTCTAAGTGTCGTTTGTAAGCGTCTTGTAAGAATCTTTATGATATAAAAAGTTTGTTTTTGTCTAATTCGTTTAGTTTTTGTGAGATCTTGTAATCTTCTATTATCTAGGAAGAGTGTCTTTACTTAGCAAAAATTGGGGCCCTCTCCCAAATTTTTGCTTGCATCACGTCGCATTAGGACTCATCCCACACTCCAGTGCTCGTCTCGCGTTAGTCGTGTTGCATTCAGACTCAATCCGCGTCGCATTCGGATTCAACTTCGTGCTCCGATGGCCGACAACCTCTTCTGGGTCAGTATTCGACTAAATAAACAAGCAAATTTACGGGATTTGGCTGAATAAGCACGCGAACGGAAGAGACTTCTGTCATCATCGATGGATTTACGGGATTTGGCTGAATAAATGCGCAAACAGAAGCAAGGTTTAAAACTGTGCAATTGGATATTGGGGCGTTTTTTTGTTCATGAGACGAGGTGTAAGCCTCAAGGCGTTTTGAGGCGTAAGCCTCAAAATCTAAAAATTCGTTAAAAAAAATTAAAAGTAAAATTTTATATAATACCCAAATAATATGTTAAAGGATAGCATATTAACTTTATATTGAACTATGAAGTAACAAAATTTACATACATATTAAACAAAAAATTACATAAAATGTAAAGTGGTAAAAATGAAATTATGTGAAAAAGAATTGAAATCCAAATATTACATGAGAAAAGCAACATAAAATATATGAGTTGCATAAACGTATCATATAGCATCAAGTTTAGCTCTAAATTTCTTCTTTCTCAGTTTCCTACTCATCTACATTCAATTACTAAAGAAAGTGAAAATAATTGACAACAACTTAAAAATCATATGTACTATCATTACTAAGGGAATTTTTATTTGAGTTATCCTAACAAATTGACATCTCCCTTGCTTCATCCTCTAGTGTTCAATACCTCCCAATCTACTTCTTTATTTATTTCAGTTATCTTCCTCTTTCATAAATGCTTGTCATCAACATAAAATAAGAGTAATACTTAAATTTTTAGAGGAGATGGTGGCGGCGTGCGGATTTCAAGTGATCCCCGCCGGCGGTGGTGGCTACGACGAAGGCAGTGGGGTGGAGGTCTAGGCAGTTGAGAGGGTTGTTGTGGCTTTGGAGCGCAAGTGGGCATGGTTTTTTTGGGTTCTTTTGTATAGGATTTAACTAAGTTTTAGATAAAAAACATATATAAATAGAGCGAGGCGTATGTCTCATGCCATCGATGCAAGGCATGCCTTAAGGTGAGCCTCAACAAGGTGTAAGTCTCATAAAAAATGCTCAAGACAAGCCTCGAGGCATTTTTCATTGAAATTGCGTTGAGGCGGACCAAGGCGAGCCTTATATTGCACAATTTTAAACAATGAACGAAAGAAAGCTCGCATCGAGTTGATTGCTTACGGGTCGGGTCGGGTTGACCGAACCCCGCCAAACTCGAATAGGGTCGGCTTCAGGTTTGGAAAAGTGACCCGATTTTCAAACTGGGTCTGGTCAAAATTTGCCAGGTCAAAGTCGGGTTGGATCTGAACCCGACTCAGGGACATGATTTGACACCCCTAATTGAAGCCTATTCAACCCATAAAATCTTATAACTTTACAACTGTATTCATATTCTAATTTTGTTGCATCATTGGCACATCATATACAGGATTTACGTGATGAGGTTAGAAAGTAGATTCAATTACAAAATAAGAAATATTTTGATCATCTAAATTTTAAGAGAAGTGCTTGAGAGCATAATAAAAGTGAGCTCCTTATGAATTGTGTACATATCAAATGCTTTGCAAAGACTATTTATAGGTAAATGCATGCTGGGTCTCATGGTCCTTTCAAAGTAGTAGGAAAATCAATTCTATTGCTTATGTTTTTAGATTTTTTCATACTACATTTATAATTATTTTTTGAACATTGAAGATATATTATCATTCGTGGAATGTTTAAATCTTGAGAATTACCTGTTGATTCTTCTATAGTTGGGATTTCTACTACAATTGATGCTTCCATAGATCTTATCATACTAGTTCTTTTTATTTTCTTAGTTGCTGAAGTATAAGTGGTACTTCGTAAAAATCTTTAATGTAGGATTCTATTAAGATGGAAACGTAAGCCTCC